ATTCGAGAAACCCCTCCCTATCGAACCTCTACACCCCACAATCAATCCGTTTTCCAAAATCAGCTTTAAACGTCAAGCAGTTTAAGCAGAATCGTGATTACTCAATGGTTCTATTTTATGAAACACCTTGTATAAATTTTTTAAAAATTTTAAAATATGTAAAACAACAAAAATAAAATATACGTGTTTAAGAGTTTTCCGAAAAACTCACCGGATTTTAAATAAAATATATTCTAATATTTGAGGGGTGGTTTCACCCCCTTAGAATTCGAGTTTGGAAAAATCCCCTCTTATCGAACCTCTACACGCTAAAGTCAATCCGTTTTCCAAAAATTAGCTTTTTACGTCAAGCGCTTTAAGCATGATCGTGATTAATCAATGACCAGATTTTTCGAAACACCCTGTATACATTTTAAAAATCTTAAAATATGTAAAAAACAAAATAAAATATACGTGTTCAAGCGTTTTTCGGAAACTTGATCGTTTTTTAAATAAAAAATATGGTAATACTTGCGGGGTGGTTTCACCCCCTTGGAACTGGGATTTCGAAAAATCCCTTCTTATCGAACCACTACACCTTAGAATCAACCTGTATGCCAAAATTGAGCTTCTTACGTTGAGTGGTTTGAGCAGGATCGTGATTAATCAGTGAGCCACTTAAGAATTTTATATATTAGTATAGATTATTTGAGGGGCGTTTTCACCCTCTTGGAATTTGAGATTCGAGAAACCCCTTCTTATCGAACCTCTACACCCCACAGTCAATCCGTTATCCAAAAATCAGCTTTAAACGTCAAGCAGTTTAAGCAGAATCGTGATTACTCAATGACCATATTTTATGAAACACCCTGTATACATTTTTAAAAAATCTTAAAATATGTAAAACAACAAAATAAAATAAACGTGTTTAAGAGTTTTTCGGAAAAACTCACCGGTTTTTAAATAAAAATATTCTAATATTTAAGGGGTGGTTTCACCCCCTTAGAATTCGAGTTTCGAAAAATCCTTTCTTATCGAACCTCTACACCCTAAAGTCAATCCGTTTTCCAAAAATCAGCTTTTTAAGTCAAGCGCTTTATGCAGGATCGTGATTAATCATTGACCAGATTTTTCGAAACACCCTGTATACATTTTTAAAAATCTTAAAATATGTAAAAAAGAAAATAAAATATACGTGTTTAAGCGTTTTTTCGGAAACTTGACCGTTTTTAAATAAAAAATATTGTAATATTCCACCCCCCTTTTTACCCCCTTAGGGGATGAATTTTAAAAAATCCTTTCTTATCTCACGTAAACATCATAAAAGGAACCCCTGTGCAAAATTTCAGCTTTCTAGGGTCAAGGGTTTGGTCTGGGCGTTGATGAGTCAGTATCAGTCAGGACAGTCAGATTTATATATATAGATAATAATTAAATAGTTTTGTTGTTTTTAAGGTACCCAACACAAAAAAAAGTGTAAAGTGTGGCATATCATTGTACTCAGGAGACCGAGTTAGGTATTTCAAAACCTGAAATAAAAAATGCAGGTTCGTATTTAAAACCAATAATTTGGCCTCGGTATCTCACAAATTATCAGCTAATTTAAAAATATAAAAATACTATCAGATATCAGATAGCTTTAATAAAGTGGCTATGAGAATGCAATTGGTTTTCTGATTTTCTAAAAAGTAACGACATCAAAAAATAAAATTGATTTTCAAAAAAATCCATTTTTTCAAAAAAACTCAGCAATCCTTAAAATTTTTCAAACTTTTTTGATTGCATCTTGGTGAACATCCCAAGGCGCAACTTTACCCCAATTTAACCATCTTCGTATCTATTACGGTTTCCGAGATACCAATGCTCGTACCTCGAATTTGTAGCACCCTGTATATACCGATGTACTTTGGTTTCTGTATTATTATTCAATTATTATTGAATAAATTGTACCTATGATTAGTTTTATTTACGTCTGAGTGTTATAAATAACAAAATATGCATGTTTACTTACTAACTTGGTCATAAATTATTACATTACTTTAACATCTGGACAGTATGTGCATACGCGTATTCATATGTACCTACATACAAATTGACTACTGCAAATATTGACACAAGAGTAATATTTAAAAATTAACATATACAGGGTTGTTCACCACATACGACACGGAGTATTGTAGCTAAATGATTAGATTTTTACAAATTGTAAGTTTTGGGTTCGTTGAAGGACTATTAGAGCTACAATTTAAAAATATTTTTACCAGATACAGAGTGTCCCAAATAAATAAAAAATATCAAAGTTGTATTTTTTTAAATGGAACACCCTGTATATTATTACATTTTTAGTTTCTACGATTAAAATAAAGGTTAATTACACTGAAACCTTACCGTTTCTGAAATATTTTCAATTTTGTAAAATTGCAGTAAAAATTTTAAGGCTTCATTCCTCCAAGGGTATCAAAGTTTTTAATACTAAATATTTACTGAAGTCTATTTATTGATCCATTATTGTGTTGCAATCATAAAAATAATAGTACCTCATGCAGAGTGTTTAAAAATTTATTTTAAATTATTTCTAGTTTTAAACGGCAATAACTTATTTAATTTAAATAGAACGCCCTGTATATTTTAGGAAAATCAGATGTACAATTTAATTGTCTATCAAATTGTATTATACCACTATTTACCTATCTCGTCAAGTTTTCGTAGAAAATGCATTTTCTTATAATTTAGACCTTATTTATCAATATACCCATGGAATATTGATATTTTAGATTGTTTTTAAAGCAACAAATGCACAAAATGTACAGGCTAGTAATATTATCGTTTTGAGCAAAATGATAATATTACTAGCCCATTTGTATGCAAAAAGAAAACTATTTAAATCTGTATAAAAGAGTAGGATTAATTAAATATACCACCATTATTTCCGCCCAAACACTAATTAATTACATACTTAATTATGTTAGTTAATAAATTATTTTAAATAAATGTGGATTTGAATCAGAAATCAATAAAATAATAAGTTATGTAAATGAATATCTCTGTTGTTATATAAATAAGCGTTTGTCAAAAATGGAAATATAATTTTTAAGGTGTTACTTTTTACCACATTGTCTAATACACATGCAAAATTCAGTTTTTTAGTATTTGGAGCAATTATTATTAACCAACGCAAACGGTCAATTAATGTAGTTTGAATACTGGAATCATATTAATTGGTCCTCTTTAACAAATATTTAAACAGTTTTCTTTTATTTTTTAATGAAATAAACAAACTATATCGACAATATTAGTATCTGTAGTCTCTAAAAATTTGGTACATCTTTAAAAATAATCTAAAAAATGTCAGTATTCCATGGATATTGATAAATGAGTTTTAAATTCCAAGAAAATGCATTTTCTACAGAAACTTGAAGAGATAGGTAAAAAATGGTATAATACAATTTGATAGACAATTAAATTGTGCATCTGATTCTCATAAAATATACAGGGTGTACCATTTAAATTAAACAAGTTATTGCCGTTTAAAGCTAGGTAGTAATTATTTAAAATAAAATTTTAGACACTCTGTATAAGGTAGTATAATTTTTATTATTGCAACACAATAACTGATCAATAAATAAACTTCAGTAAATATTTAGTATTAAAAACTTTGATACCCTTGGAGGAATAAAGCCTTAAAATTTTTACTGCAATTTCACAAAATTGAAAATATTTCAAAAACGGTAAGGTTTAAGTGTAATTAACCTTTATTTTAATCGTAGAAACTAAAAATGTAATAATATACAGGGTGTTCCATTTAAAAAAAATACAACTTTGATATTTTTTATTTATTTGGGACACTCTGTATATTGTAAAATATTTTTAAATTGTAGCTCTAATAGTCCTTAAACGAACCCAAAACTTACAATTTGTAAAAGTCTAATCGTTTAGCTACAATACTCCGTGTCGTATGTGGTGAACAACCCTGTATATGTTTCTTTTATTTAAAAAGCTACTAGGTTAAATTTTTATACAAACAAATGTGTTCGCAGTCATGACCTGCGATCATATTCATACAACTTGAAATATGTATTTATCTGCTATTAGTTATACCGTATAATCGAAAAAAAGGTGTCAAAGACGGTTGTAAAATGACAGTCGATGATAATTTTGGCGAGGTCATTCTCTAGATGTCATTTACTAAAAATATACATAAAACTTGTCAAAAATTAACACGGATTATAAAAAGATAACAAAGGATAGAGCATTTCCAGACACAAATCTGTTTCCAAAAAAGATTTTTTCTCGAATTTTAAACTACACCATTTAAAAATAATTTTTACTCAATAGAAAAATAAATAACCTTTTTAAGGCCAACTAGGAATGAGCGTCATAAAAAAAAATAAAGAAGAGTCAGGGTCAATGGTGACGTATAGGGCTTGACTTCACAAAAAAATATTAGCGATTGTCATTCCCCAGCCATCTTTGACGCTGTTTTTTTTTCGATCGTATGGTACATTTATTATTCATTCACCAATATATATGCGGTTTTTAAACAACTGTGCTACTGTCCTAGATTTGTCCTAATCCTCTTAGTTCCTGACAGACAGGACGAATTTGAAAATATTACATATTTCGACCCCCTTTGTATCTTAGTTATCTTCTAATTTTTCGAAAAGGTGAATATTGAGTCGCATAGAGTTTTTCACGTAAAAAACAGCTGCCACTAAGAAAAATAGTTACGTCACTGAATGCAACAATTTCAAATTCGCCTTGTACTTCAGAAACTAAGGCCAGGACAAATTCGTGTGTAGTATCTTTAGTTTTATAAAAAGAAATAGTAGTAGTGATGTGAAACCCGCATATTTGTATCTAACTCATAAACGAGAAACCCTGTAAAACACACAAAAATGGGACACCCTGTATAGAGGGATTACTAGAAAATACACTGTAAAATTTCAAGAATATTTCTACATTTTGATAAATCCCATATACTCTTTAAGTCCAAATTTAAATTTATCTTTTCTCTATTACAGTTGGTCGAATGGCGAAAACCATCTTATTTTCAACCTGGTGTCGGGCAGAGCCCCCGATTTCTCCACGGTGGTACCGTTGGACGTGGGCAGAGCCCTGGTGGCCGGCGCCGATTTCGACAGCTTCTCCTTCAGGTACGGCTTCGACGTGGCCATGCCCGCCTACAGTCCATTGGCGGCGACCATGGGACAAATACGGAACGTCCATTTCAAGAGGTACAGTATTTGTGCCTTTAAAAAATGTTTATGTGGCGGATTCATCTCTTCAAAAAAGTCCTATGGGCATTTCGCCACTTCTCGCACAGTAAGAAAATCAAAACAAAATAAAATAGTTATTTTTTGTAAACACTGCTGTGTTAAACTAACGGAGACTACTACCACAGATTAGGTATCCTGTAAGTATACAGATAAAAATCTTGTCCCTAATTCGTGGTACGAAAGTTGTTTTTTATGTCGATGTGCAAACGAGTCAAATTTCGTGTGCGCAAAAATAAACTCCCGTAAAATAACAATAAACAGCGTAATAGAGAGATATCGCTAAACCGAATAGCGTGCATGGACGTTAATAAGGCCAGGGGCGCTATTCTGTACAATCGTCGGTATCGGTAAGTTACGACACCTCTAGATACGTATTTGTATATAGTAAAAATGTGTTAATTGTTGTTGTCATAGTTACCGATTGGTCCCATGGCGGATATCGCAAATTTGTACCGACGAAAATCGGTATCTCTACCGTGCCCTTCTTAACCTCACGGTAGAGATATCGAGAGTCGTCGGTACAAATTCACGATATCTGCCATAGGGCCGATCGGTAACTATGACAACAACAATCAACACGACGCTCATTGGCCGTACGTACCGATAGCTATCGGTAACTTACCGATACCGACGATTGTACAGAATAGCGCCCCAGGGGCGTATTCGAAAATCGGTATCTCTACCGTGCCCTTGTCAACCTCACGGTAGAGATACCGAGAGTCGTCGGTACAAATTTGAGATATCTGTCATAGGGCCGATCGGTAACTATGACAACAACAATCAACACGACGCTCATTGGCCGTACGTACCGATAGCTGTCGGTAACTTGCCGATACCGACGATTGTACAGAATAGCGCCCCAGGTGTTATTTCCTTTACGTGAGGTGGTATTAACTCTCTTCATTTATAGTTATCAGATCGGAAAGAATTCTGATCGCGTCGCGTCCGCTATTTAAACTTAACCTAACTTTGAATTTAAAACTTTGAAATTGTTTTGTTTACTAGGTATTTTAAAACTAAAGGGCTAAAGTGCTTATTTTCAGTGTTTTATTGTTCAATGTCTGCCAGTGGGTTTAGGGCAACAAGCAACAAATTCTCTTAGAAGGGCTAAGTCGTCATCTGCTGTAAACCAAAGACTCTATAGGTTCTTTAGTATTGGAAGAGGTGGAATCCATATTTTGGGCCATATTTATTTAATTAAAACTAATCCCAGCTACTTAATTATCAAATTACCTAATAAAACTAAAGCAATAATTCAAAACAATTCAAACATAACCTAAAATGAAAGATCTCGCCGGCCGGCTCCGGTTGTCAAATACCCGCACACGCCCATTTAAGCAATTTTTAAACGTTATCAGAGGTTATTTAGAAAGAGCGCTTCGTGTAATTGATCCGCAAATTACGTCAGGCGGTAACGTTATTAGCGGGTGTTAGTTATTAGCGGTTTTTTTTGGCGTTAAAAATTGACTCGCGCATATCGTAACCATGATAAGGTACGCGTAAATACTGGATGACGCTATTCGGTTTTCCGATATCTCTCTAATAACTGTGCCGATCAGGCGCTGTGCACAATTTTACAGGCCATAAGTGGGCGTGCTATGTGCGCAAACTAGTCACCTAACAAGTGCCCGATTCCGAAAATTGGAACCACGAAAAACAATAAAGAAAAAACAAAGATTATAATCTGTATAATCTGTGCTACTACTAATAAACAAATATGCCTAACGGACAAAAAAATGCTTACCGTTTCGGGAAGTACATCTCTTCCCGTCGTCGGAAGCAAAAAACCTCGCAAAAAACACAAAGGAAAAAAATACCTTTTTCTACAAACGTCAAAAAATAACAAGGTTTGCGAATTGATAGCAATGTGCGAAGTGACACTTTTTTTCATTTTCCTATGTTCCTACGTTACCATGACAAGATGCGCGAAACGCCTATTTCGCACACTGCATGTAAATTATATGGGATTTTGGAATTTTGGTTTTTGGAAAATGAAGAAGTAAATCATACCTAATTATTTATTTCGAAATATTCAAGAATAAACAAATATCAAACTTAACACTAATGCATATTCTAGTTATTATTTACAATATTAACATTAATAGTACAATTAGTACACGAACCAATATTTAATCCCAAACTAGATAGTTCTGATTTTGCTTGAGATATTTGGGTTTTGGGACTTGAGACACTATCCAATTTTGATGTAGAGGTACTTGATTCCGGTATTTGACACTCTAAAATTTTATTTGATATTTGAATTTTATTGTTGATAAAATGTTTAAAAATATATAATGTTTGTAGAAAAAATGTTGTTTGCAACTCGTGTGCGAACTATTTTGGTAATTTCGACTAATTTTTCAACTCGGCTACGCCTCGTTAGAAAATTCAAGTATCGATCACCAAGGTAGCACTTCGCGCACTAGATACAAAAATAACTATTAAGGCGAGCTTTAAGGCGAATTTCTACAAAATGCACAAAACTACAACATAATTCTGTCGTTTTTAACCAAATAAAAAAAAAAATATATGAAATTTATAAAATTTACGCTATCAAACAACTTATCTTTAATAGGAACTATCGGTATCAAGAAATAGCCATTTTATCCGATAGTCAAGCAGCCTTAAGAGCGATCAGCTCAGGAACCATATCGGTTCGAAGTTGGTCAAATAATACTTAGAGAAGCTAAACAAATTAGGCAAAGAAAATAATGTCGTCCTACTCTGGGTGACCGCCCACCAAGGGATAGAAGGTAATGAAAAAGCAAACGATCTAGCTAGAAAAGGAGCCATCACTCTACTAACTGGACCAGAACCGTTCTGCTTCCCAAGTGGAACCCAATTCAAATCAGAATTCAAGAACCTGGAAGACTCCATCCGTAACCCGGAATGGGAATCATCCAACGGTCTAAGACACTCGAAGAAATTTCTCAGAACTTATAACCGAGAAAAATGAAAGATTTTACTTGGTGTGCCGAGACGACGACCATTCGTGTCATAAACTTTGGTACGACTATTATCGGAGATGTGGAGAACTAACCTCAGTAAATCCGTCTCAGATACTGGCTTTTGCAACAGTCCTGGGACTGTATATCTCAGGAAATGCAGGCCCAATAGATCTATAAAGTCGCGGTGGTACATCTACATCTGGCTGATCCGATTATAGAGGTTGCAGTATAGGTTGCACTGTATTATCATCAGTCGTTGCCATTTTGGACGTAATTTTTCATAATTTTAAATTTTAAGAAGAGATTGTCCAACTTCTATATATACCGGGTGCGTCTGAAAAGTGGCTCACCCTTATAACTTTTTATTAACTTAACATAAATTAGGATTGATTGACGTATTCAATTGTTTTCGGTCACTTCCTGTTTCACCAGGAATGACTAATGGCGATTTCGACTGGCTGCACTAAGCCGCACTCAATGCAAACTCGAACAGAATTACAATTTTTTGACTGGTAAAAGCAAAGCAAGAGCAATGTAAAATTGTGTTCGACTCGCGTCGCACTGACCCGGTGCGGATTGTTTTTTTCGTTCGGCTACATCAGAGCAGCTTTGTAAACTAGCACTCAGTGCAATAATTTTGAAACCGTCATACTTTGGTCGGTTCTGTCCAGTTCGCTCCAGCACTGTGCAAGTGCAACTCTTTGAGCAATTGCTCGCCCTGAGAGCATTCGAATAGAACCGGTGCAGCCCAGTCGAAATCGTCATAAAACTTTTGATTTTTAAAGGACACCCATGGCATTTTTTATTTTGTTCAATAGAAAATGACACTCTGAATAGAATGACATATTATATGTCAATTTTTGACATTTTCGCTTAAAACAAAAATTACGCTCAAAATTGTATTTTAAATTTTAATAGAGTGCCATGGCTCTGTTAAAAACACTAATTTTTAATCAAGGAGCCTTGGAAAAATATTGAATTTGATCTTCTAATGTTTTTACTGTCTTGTCCTGGCCGGTTAAAAAATGCCCAAATCTTATTTTTAATCATATCTCAATTTTTTCAAACGAACGAGGGTGGTTCATTAGCGTATTTCGAAAAGGCATTTTTTACAAATAATTTGATACCACACACTTGGTATTTCGAATCAAATTGTCGTTATGAACTGCAAGTTGCAATTTCAAATAAACCATATTCGAAAATGTCAAAAGTTGACATATTTTATATCATTCTATTCAGAGTGTCATTTTCTATCTAATAAAGTAACAAAATACTGAGGATGACATTTAAAAATCAATAGTTGGAGTCACTTCTGGCGAAACAGGAAGTGACCGAAAACATTCAATTGTTTTGTCAATCAATCCTAATTTATGTCATATAGTAACATACCAAATTTCGTTTTTTTATCTGAAAAATGAAAAAGTTATAGAGGTGAGCCACTTTTGAGACGCACTCGGTATAGGTCCATAAATATAATATTCTTTTAGAAATGATTTTATTTTCTATGAAATGATTAAAAAAATTTTCGCGCTGTTGAATTAATTGTTTGTATCTGCTGCATGTTTAAATCGATGCAAACATAAAATTTCTAATTTTAAATTTTTAACGAACGTGAAAATTGACTGATTTAAAAATATGATGTTATTCTATTGATGTTAGTTAAGTAAATTTTCGTAACTTCACCAACGGATGTTGGTTTTTTCGAAAGTATTCAACAGATAATAGTGCCAAGCAAATATTTGGACAATTACGTTAGAGCTGATTAAAAATATCGAGAATGGAATATATCATTCTCATATTTCAATATATCCTATGTTTTTTTATGTATATCAGGTGCGTCTCGAAAATGGTTCACCCCTATAACTTTTTTATTTTTTTGAGATAAAAATGAGATTTGCTTTGTTAGTGTGTGACATAAATTAGGATTGATTGACGTATTCAATTATTGTTTTTGGTCACTTGCTGTTTCACCGGAAATGACTACAACTTTTGATTTTTAAATGGCACCATTGCATTGGTAGGAAATGACACTCTGAGTAGAATGACATATCATATACCAACTTTTGACATTTTCGCTTTCAAAGAATTGTATTTTAAATTTTAATCTAGAGTGCCATGGTCATGTTAAAAACACTAATTTTTGAAAATTTAGAAAATGTTAAAAGTTGACATATGATATGCCATTCTATTCAGAGTGTCATTTTCTGTCGAATAAACTAAAAAAATACCGAGGGTGCCATTTAAAAATCAAAAGTAGTTTCTGGTGAAACTGGAAGTGACCAATAACAATTGAATACGTCAATTAATCCTAATTTATGTCCTATACTATCATACGAAATCTCCTTTTTTTGTCTTAAAAAATAAAAAAGTTATAGGAGTGAGCCACTTTTCAGAGGCACCCGGTATATCTATGAATCATTAATTTGCATCCAAGTAGCACCACTTGATTAAAATCCCAAAAATCGATATATGGAAAGATCGATATTTTTTCTTAATAGTCAACATCCTTATATGCCGCTATATACCACTGTTAATTTCTCATTGTATAGAGACTGTTTCCATCTTTTTCAAGAATTCTGCGAGATTTCATATCGTTATCTGCTTTATTTATTTATTGATAATATCGTTTTTTGAGTATATTTAAGGTATTGTATATTATGATCTTTGTGACCTGATACTATGTGCACTAATTCAACAAATGTAATTCTGATGTAAAACTATCAATAATAATTGTTTAGATTTGTTTCGTCTGACAAAAAGTAAATCTGGTTTAAAATATTGTATTGATAATTTATATATGTAATTAATAACTATGATAATATTTGAAAATACCGACAAGCTAAAAAAAATGGGATATCATTAGTAATATTTAATATCCTTAAAATTTTAGAGTACAGGGTGTCCCATTTCTGTATGTTCTACAAGGTTTCTTGTGATACAAAGATGAAATTTTCACATCACTGTACTACTTTTTTAAGAAACTAAATATTCTACACACATATTTGTCCTAGACCTAAAATACAGGGCGAATTTGAAAATTTTGCATTTTTCGACCTCAAAACTGTGTCCTGTAGAGTTTTTCACTTACGATCCAGTGACGCCAGTGGCTTAAAAATATGAATTCAAATACAATTAAATTGAATAAAATTCTAAATTATCTACTTGAAATTGATGGAAAACGGAACTCACCCAATTAATAATTTCGGAACGTACTTAAAATGTTCTAAACAATATGAACTAAGATCAGACACACCCAAAGGCATATTTGACAAATGATGACGACGCGACGTAACGTTGGGCGATCGTTGAACAGTCTTTACCTCTATATCGCTGTAAAAACAGTTCAGGAGAAAAGAAAAGCAGTTTATAACACTATAGGCTTGGTGCATTCTCCGCCGGTGCTGCCACCATCGGAGAATATCGTAAACAATTAATACTTACCACAGTTACTTACAAATACACGGGTTTAAATAGCAAGAATACGAAAAATATATTATTTAATTATTCTAAAAGTGTAATCATTCTAAAAATATTTGTGAAAATTATTAAAATAAAAATAAAAAAGAAGAAGGTCTAACTTGTATTATAATTTATTATTCCAGTTAAAAAAACTTTTTAGATTAGTTCAACTACGGTAGAGAGCATAGTTTTAATCACTGGTTTTGCCAGTGGGGCATAATTGAGGCTATTTCAGCTGTTACGAAATTTTTAAAAAGGTACATAATCATAATTTTAGAAGATGTTCGTAAAACATTTAATCACTAGTTGATTAAAAAAAGTGTACCATTAATATTGAAAATTATATTTTTTTTCTCATAGTATATGTCTATTTAATTTTTTGATTATGTAACGAGCACTTTGTTTACTTATTTGTTTGTTATATATTGTCTGTCATTCTACTTTCACAACCATCCACTGCACAAATATTTCTAGTTGACATTTTATTCACAATTTGAACAAAACAACTAAAACACTATTTTTGGTTCACCCTATGCGTCGGGCCGAAAACAAAACTAAAATAAACTTGGAACACTGTGTAACGTCGAGCAACGGATGTAGACTGACCCAAGTCTACAAGACAGGCGGGGAGCGACGGGAGGAATTTTGATACGGGCGAAAAGTGTGTCAACTGATATATTTTATATTCTTTAAACTGTGGTTACACACACTGGCGGCGCGCGGCGCGGCGGCGTGAAATAAGTACTGATAATTACTGATTTTTGCCGTTGAAGCGCTGCGGTCGGAATTTGTTGAAATCAACTGAAATGCACCAAGCCTATAAGTTTAAAAAACAACACGAAAAATTAAAACACACTAACATGTTCTGCTTTGATCACATATTGAGCATGACAATACAATATTACGACCATTTCAGTTCATCTGTTCAACACTTTTTAATCTTTTATTTTAAACATTTAGGTTTCGAAAAGTTATCTCCTCTCAGCTCAACATCGACCCGTACTATCTGGACGTTCTCCAGAGCCTCAAGGCCTCTCACCCTCAAGAGCTGCTCCTATTGGACGCCTGTCATCCGCATCGATACGTCACGCGTTGCGACGTCATCGAGGCCACCCACCACCGGTACCCGGACGTGTTGACAAGTGCCACGTTCTGTCTGATGTTTAGAGGTGAGAGGAGGGGCCAGTACGTTCTTCTGGAAGCCATGGCCGCTAACTGCATACCTGTGATAGTGATGGACGCATACGTCATGCCGTTTGAAAATGTGATAGGTCAGTAAAAAGAATAAAATGATTTTTGAGAAGAATACCATTTTTTCTTTATAATGGCTTGTAATAGATCTTTCACACGAAGCGTGATCAACATTAGGGTTAATGTGATCAACATTAGGGTTAATGTGATCAACATTAGGGTTTGCGGAACCGGATCTGTTTTTCGGAACCAGGAATATCGGTACCGCGCCTCTTAGAAACCCGGATTTCCCGTTTTTTTCGGTACTTTCGGTACTTTTTACTTCGTATTTTTGTTCAATGATGGTGCAGTTCATCATTCAGAAAGCAAGGGATGGTTTTTCAAAGTAAAATGGATAAAACATTGAGATTTTTAATGAAAATAATATCAAATTATTAAGTAATTAGTCATGAAAAAATTAATATGAACGCAAGTAAAGAAAAGGTATAGGTAACTTAAATTTCACATCAAACAACATAAACCAACTTAACTGAATTTGAGACAAAAGCCCTGAAATATTGAATTAAAAACGCAAATATCTATTAAAACATAACGGTTCTTTGATGTCTCAAAAGATACTACTTTTGGTACCGGGATTTCCCGGTTCTGAACCCTAATGAACATGAACGGTTACCGGGAATGCGTGAAATAGAGAGCCCGAGAGCTCTGATTTCCGCCGTACCGAGCGCTGCTGTCGAAATTTTAAAAATCAGCTGAAATGTGTGCTCCAAGTCTATAGCAGAGCTCTACAACGTATAGTATTTCCAAAGTCAATTGGAAGTACCGAGACTCTTAATTCCTTTGTCCAGATGATGCCGACAAAGACAGTGCCGAAATTAAGAGTCCCATTCTATTCCAACTGACTTCAGAAGAACTATACGCGATCCAGAACAATCGTAACTTATGGCTGGAAGCGTTTCAATCTAAATTTATTTCTGTTATCTATGCTATACAGGGTGAGTGTTAAATAAGTGCAAATATTTTTAGTATTAACTAGTAAACACAACAATTCACAACATTCTGTACTTTCAGCTGTTTTAACGTTTATTTGCTTTACGGCAGGGGCGCTATAGACGGTAGGGCCGGGCCTAATTTATTAAATTAAAAAATTCCTGTCGATAACCCTGTATGGTTTGAAAACGTGTAAATGAAATAACGTGGCTTGACACAGTTTGTTTATACTTATATTTTTTACATTGTTACATGCAGTTGAAATGTAGTTTTTATAATACTGTACGCAATAATCATATCTATCGACTACCGATCTCTAATAAGAATGTCCTCTAATAAGATATTATATATTACGGTCAAAACTGACACTTACTTCTTCACAGAATAACAAAACAATGTCAAATCTATTTTAATTTTAAAATAAAGTAAAAATCGTTTTTAATTTTATTAAGCTCATTATTTTCTTATTTGAAAAATTGCAATACATTGCGGGTGGAGTACACACAATACCACAAGGAGATGTAGAGGTAGGAAGTTTTGAATTCCAACCGCTAGTTGCTACTCACAACCAAAAAGTATTTTAATAGACGCAACTCAGAAAAATAAACATTGGATAGATATTGACTTGTGCTGACAAGGTAAGACACTTAAAATGGAGCCAAAACAATTTATTGCACTTAAAACACACGTTTTGTTATTAGAGGTATTAATAATTAAACTTAAAACTGGTTAAGTGTGTTTTATTCTAGTTATTTATTATGTGAATACTGAAATAGATAAATATATACCTATATATATAAAAATCATAATTGCACAACTAGGATTTCTGTACTTTATAACAGAGGGTATTTTATTCACACCTTTTCTGAATTTGTCACCCCTTTTCAGCAATTTTTACTTGTTAATTGCATTTTCTCAGATGAATAATTAGAAAAATAGGTCATTTAGGAAGTGGCAATGTTGCATCCCCTTTAGTGCCGTAACCATGGTAATACCAGGGATTATGAAATTAGATCGTGGGAAAATTTGTGGTGATCAGGCAGTTCTAAAAAGTTTTCGAAAAATATACAGGGAAATTTAAAAGAAAATGCACGATTTTCAACATCTTTTTCTTACGAAAAAAAAAACTCATAGACGTTTTCCTGGGCCGAAATATACCACCCCTGAAAATATTTGCCCTTATTTAAGACCCACCCTGTATAGTTTAATGTGTTGTAGATTGGAAACGCGTTGCCATATTTATAATGGAAAGTCAGCTGAGCTCTCTGATGGACGTGTTGAGCGGCGTGTCCGAGAAAAAAGTCGGAGAAATGCGAGAATCCTTGAAGTTCCTATACGATACGTACTTCTCGTCGATGGAGAAGATCGTTCTGACTGCACTGGATGTGATCCAAGACAGGGTCTATCCCCATAGAGCTAAGACTTACGACGAGTGGAATATGTTACCAAAAGAGGTATAAAATATATGTGAACATATCTTATGAAAAAAAAACAAGTGAGATAATGAACTTTACTCTGTCGTTGACGCTCCCTGTACAGCTTGTCCCATTTTCGTGTGTTTTATAAAGTTCCTCGTTTGTCGCTGCTTTTTTAAGTAACTAAAGATGCTAGTCGCAGATTTGTCCTAGCCCCCTTAGTTTTTTAAATACAGGGCGCATTTTAAAAAATTGCACGTTTTGACCCTCTTCCTATCTTGGTCATCTTATAACTTAAAATGCAAAGAAAAAAGACAATAAGATGCGTATTTAAATGCCCATCAAATTTTGCTAAAAAATACAACAAATATGCAATTATTTGTCAATTATTTGAAATATGGTGATGTTTTTTTAAAATTTTTTTTTACGTTATGAATTTTGATAACAGTGAAACTTGAGGTTTAGTAAAATGAATTTGGTAATAATAAAACACTGTTTTTAGAAATTACAATTTTTAGTCCTTTAATAAGATAATACATAATTAAAAAAATTAAATTAAATGATTAACAAAACTATGCAAACAATATATTAAATATAAAGTATGTCTTACAATAATTATAAAAAAATAATTACAAAGAGTTTTTCAAAGTTTCCTAGAAGAAAACTTCGCCTTTTGTCACTTTGACTGTCATCAGGCAGTTAGTTTTTTTTTCATGAATTATGGCAATTCCAAACACCTGGGGTTTTCCAGAGCTCTGTTTTTATAATTGTCTATTTACCAATTTTACAATTTAATAACCCAGGTATTACAAGCCCCAGTAAATATAATAAAATACCATGTGATAAAAAAACGGCGTCCAGTTGACTTGGAAATGACTATCGTTGAGATTCCCTATATAATTTTACATATAAAATGACAGCGATCTTATTGTAGTAAGTATAATAAAATAATAAGTATGCCGTTTTTAATAAAACACGTAAATTGATTCATATTTCAAGAATGACAGTCTAGCGACAAACTAGTTACGCCACTGCATCCTACGTGAAAAACTCTACCGGACACAGTTTTCGCTTTTTTTCACTACTTTAGGAACACAAGGCTATGATAAATCTATGTGCCCATCTTTAGTTTCATAAAAAAGTATCACAGTGATGCAAAAAGCCGCATCATTGTATCTCTACTTATAAACAAACCACATAAAACACACGAAAATGGAACACCCTTTACAATTAATATAACCGTTTTTACAAATTTACTTGATTGACACAAATATGTTTTAGGTTAACTATAACCCTTTATTTTACCCATCTACTGCTGTAAGAAGTAACGGGTTCACCGCTGTCATTCTGACATATGACAGAGTGCAAAGTTTATTCCTTCTCATCGAAAGACTGTCAAAAGTACCGAGTTTAATGAAAATAGTCGTTGTCTGGAACAACCAAAAGAAGAATCCTCCGCCTAGTAAGTGTAGTGCTGTTTATGCCGTATGATCGAAAAAACGCCATCAAAGACTGCTCGGGAGTGAATCGATAATTTGTGATTTTTAGAGAATGACGATGGTAATTTTGGCAAGCTCAATCTCTAAAGTTTGATAATTGATGTCTAACTTGTCAGAAACGAACACTAATTATAGAACTTTGAATAAAAAGATTAAGGAAGGAGTATAATGCTATCTATGGGGATCCTTGACAGTTCTGTTAGACAATCGATTTGGCACATTTGAATTTGATTTGAAATTTTGTGGATTTGTCAGCCTTTACTGAGATTATATTTTATGTTATTTATTATTTATTCTACAACTGGTAGTTGTTCTTTTTTAACTGACAGTAAGAGCCATTAAAAAATAAAGAAGTAACGGGCCAAGCAAATGACGTCTAGGGTTGAGGTGGAAATTCTAGTTGCTTGGGGGGAACTAAGTTCCTTAGTTCTAGTTCCTCCAGAGGAATAGTTCTTTGAACTAGGTCTTTAGTTCACATTAGTTCCCGACTAATATTTATATCCCCGTTGCTTGCTCATGGGTTTCGTTATAATTCGAAACTATTTACAGTATGATCTGTATAATTTTTATAATGTACGAAATATAACGCGACGTGTAATTGCGTATGTTAAAAACATATAGGTAAGATTTATTGCAGATAAAAACAAAAAATTAAAAAAGACACTCAAATCAGGGTTTAAAAAGCTATATCACAAATCAATTGGAGCAAATAATAAAATACTTAATATTGGTACATCTGTAGGTGAAGCTAAATGAGAAATATGAAGGTAAATTTTTCTCTCTTATTTTACGAAAAATTGCATTTTTCCTCACTTCAAGCTTTTTGTTTTTGTCTAAAAAGTGAGAACATCTGCTTCGTTTTATAAAATATTTCTTAATTTTAGGGACCTAAAGTGAAACATTCTCATAAAATATTGAAAGAACAAACTAAAAATTAAAAACAGCATCCACGACAATTTTCTGTGGTATTTACGCTGGCCGCAGCAATAGACAATCCATGGTCATCGCCTTGTATTATATCTCGGACCTGCGGACTGAATAGATTCCCGTGAACTAGTCTTTTAATTAGTTCCTCCCAGTCCTTTCGGTCTGGGACCGATAACATACGGCTGACACTCCCCACTCCCACCTAGCATCGGGCTACGATCGCGCTGGCCGATCCGTCGCCGTCACATATTATATATCGGTCCTGAGGAACTAGTCCTTTGAGAAACCGGGAACTAGTTCCTTTCGTTCCGGGGTGGGAATAGTTCTTAGAACTAGTTTGTCCACGAACTACACACCTCTTTTAGGGCTTAACCTCGCCAAAATTATCGTCGATTCTCATTCCCAAGCTGTCTTACACAGCTTTTTCGTTCTTTTTTTGTATTTGTGATAATGTTTTCTTTACTTTTAGTGTCGGAATTTCCGAAAATTGCTAAACCCATTAACGTGATCAAAACGAAAGCGAACAAGTTATCTAACAGGTTTTATCCATATCCCGAGATCGAAACGGAGGCCATTTTGCATATAGACGATGACATTGTCATGTTGACGTCTGACGAGGTGGAGTTTGCGTTTGAGGTGTGGAGAGAGTTTCCCGACAGGATAGTAGGTAAGCTATCATTTTTTTCAGTGTATATTGTTGAAACAAAGCTTTGAAACTACTGAAGAATATCAATTGTTGTTGAAATTTGGAGGGTAAAAGTTACTATAAGTGCGACATATTTTAATGCTAAAAAATGTCCATAACCAGGGACGTGTGTTTGGGTTCTCACTGGAATATTTTTCTAAAAAAAATATTATGTGCACCACTCACTTTTTTTATCTTGTTAGCAAAATTGTGTAGAAGTTGTTTAATCTTATGATATATGCCTAGTAAAAATACAGAATACACGGAAACAACCTGATAACCGCCAGCCGTCCGGTGCTCTCCTCTAAAATTAATAAAATGGCGCTTATCATGTTTTTCCCCTGGACCCTTCAATTCTAATAGCAACCTTTAAAAACTTTTAAAACAATAAAAAATCATTAACTGGCCAAATTTTACATAACTACTGAAAGATTCCTCATAAAAAAAATATGAAAAAAGTTTCTATAGACACAGGTGTGGTAATGTATAGTTTTAAAGTTACAGGATGTTAAAACTTTTGTTCTACTTTTTATCAATAATAATTTCATTAATGTTCAACTACAACACTTACTGAATGTTAAACCTTAGAAATGAATAATTAACTTTAATCTTATTGTTTTGTAACCAGTACCTTTCGACTTTTTTACAGTACTAAAAGCTATATGAGATGGTATACAAGCTTTATTGGTGGCTAATACAACTCTTTGGGTCTATATTTTTCCCTCGATATTTTCCTTTACTTAACTTAAAACAAAATTTAAAACACACGAATAACACAATCCAAAATGCAAAAGCAATATCGCAAATATTTATCATTTTACAGAACGCTGGTTATTAGACATACTTTCACACAAATAATATTCTTTAATTTGACAAGAGTTTCAAAAATCTTAAGTCGAGTTTATACGCATCTGCGTCATTGTGTCGTTTATCGTTCCGTCAGTTCATTCATATTGAAATATGATCTGTCATTTTTGAAATAAACCAATAAAACTGGTTAAAAACATCAAGAGACGACGTATGACGGATTTATATATAAATCCATCCATAGTTAACTGAAAAAATATTCGAAACTTTTTTGATTGAAATAAATGGTTTGCTATGGACGTCATCTGCCTTTTTTCTGTAATAGTCTGTCGAAATCTTGCTTGACTCGTAAAACAGAGTATATCAAGTTCTCTCGCCATTTTTAGGATTTCCTTCTCGTATGCACGTGTGGAACAACGTGACCAACTCGTGGGGCTACGAATCGGAATGGTTGAACGAGATATCGATGGTCTTGACAGGGGCAGCTTTCCTACACAAGTACTGGTCATACCTGTATACTAACGCGCTCCCTTCCAACATCAGAGACTGGGTGGACGAAGAAATGAATTGCGAAGATATAGCCATGAATTTTTTGGTAGCTAATATAACGAACAAACCACCAATAAAGGTATGCATAGGAAAATCAATAAAAGTTGGCATGCACGACTTCAAGACCTCAAAACTATTACCAAATTAAATTTCTAATAAATAAAAATTTGTTTGAAACTTAGAGCGGACCTTTTTCTTTGTCTGATAATCTTATATTCTGGTTAAAATAAACAGCCCATTGTTGCAAATAAAATAAACGAATTGTTGTGTATATACACCATTTTTATTAGCCCTTGAATATGAAATTTGTAAATTATTTTGATTTTACAATCCACAGGTAACCCCTAGGAAGAAGTTCAAGTGTCCGGAATGTACAAACAACGAAATGCTGTCGGCGGACAAAGGTCATATGGAGGCTAGATCGAATTGCGTCGACAGATTTGCCAAAATATTCGGCAGGATGCCTCTAAATTCGGTGGAGTTTAGAGCGGATCCGGTCCTCTTTAAGGACGCATTCCCCGAGAAACTAAAACGCTTCAACAATATCGGCAGTCTATAATTTATTACCTAATGTTATTTATTATTTACGAAAAAAGACAAAATTTGTTTTCGATAGAGATGGGCATTAAAAAATCGATATTTTTTTCGAAACTATCGATAATTTAAAAATATCGATACTGTAGAACATCCCTACTTTCAATGGGCGAAAAAAGTAAATTTCGACGACATCTGGCCAGTAGGAGGCCTTAATTTTTCATACACAATTTTAAAAGTATTTGGGAAAACAAAAAGATCGAAATTAACTAAATCCTGAAAATATATGTGTATTTCGGTTGGACGACTTGAAGCCATCCATATGTTACTTCATTTTGCCTGAGTAAATTTGTTTTCAGTTAGGGATGAGTATTTTTAGGAATATCGATATTTTTCAAAACTATCGATAATTTAAAAATGTTACTTTAGAACGCCCCTACTTTAAACGGGCGAAAAAAAAAAGTAAATTTCGACGGCATCTGGCCAGTGGGAGACATTAATTTTTCACACACAATTTTAAAAACATTTGAGAAAACAAAAAAATAGAAATTAATGAAATCCTGAAAATTTATGTGTATTTTGGTTGGCCGACTAGAAGACATCCATATGTTACTTTATTTTGCCTGACAAAATTTGTTTTCGATTAGGGATGAGTATTTTTAGGAATATTGATATTTTTAAAAAGGATCAATATTTAAAAATATCGATACTTTAGAATATTCCTACTTCCAGTGGACGAATAAAAGTAGATTTCGATGACTTCTGACCAATGGTACGGTCAGAGTGCTTTTTAATTTTTCAAATACAATTTTACAGATATAATATGAGAAATAAAAAACGTAAATTAATGAAATCTCAAAAATTAATGTGAATTTTGGTTGGACGACTAGAAGTTGAAGAAGACTACTATAAATTGTTAAAAATATGCATAAGGATCATAAAGACCATTATTAGATTGATGTCAGTGCCATAATTTTATTTGAACAAACAATTCTCTTTATTTTTATTTTGTAGTTCAATAACACAGTATGTCTTTTAATTAGGGAAGTATATTTTTTAAAATATCGATATTTTTCAAAAGTATCGTTATTTCTTTAAAAACATATTGATACTTTGGAACATCTCTACTTAGGTAGGCCATTCATATATTTCTTTATTTTGCTTATAATACGTAATAAATTGTTCAAAAATATGCATAAGATTCATACAGACATTCATAAGGTTTATGTCAATGCCACAGTTTTATTTAGGCAAAAAATCATCTTTATGTTTATTTTGTAGTGCAATAACAATAGATTTTTCGATTAGAGAAGTCCATTTTTTAAAATATCGATATTCTTCAAAAATATCGACATTTTTTTAAAATATCGATACTTTAGTACATCTGTACTTTCAGTTGACTTACTGTAGGCCATCCATATGTTGCTATATTTTGTTGAAAATACGTAATAAATTGTTCAAAAAAAAACGCATAAAAGACATTCGTAAGATTTATGTCAATGCCATTAATTTATTTAAGCAAAAAATCCTCTTTATTTTTCTTTATTTATGTTCTATCAGATTTTAAATGTAATGTAATGATTGTAAATATTAAAAATAAAAGTTTGTTCGGTGTACATACTGTAAATATTTTTATAAAATTATTTTATCATTGTCATCGTTTTTTGTTGCGTTTATTATTTTTGTACCATTTAGCTTATATAAATATATTGTTTTTGTATATGTTGTAAAATAAAATGAATAAATTATTACTAGTAAAATTTATTTTATTTTATTATATTAGGTGGCTGGGGAATGATAATCGATAATTTTGGCGAGGTCGGTCTCTAGATAATTTTGGCGAGGTCGGTCTCTAGAAATATTAAAAAAAGGACAGTAAGTATGTTTCTAAACACAAATCTATTTCCATAAAACTTTTTTTTCTCGAATTTTACACTGTACCATTTAAAAATAATTTTTACTCTAAAAATAAATTACGATTACAACCTTCTTAACAGTGGCGGATAAAGAGGGGGGCCCGGGCCCCATGGGCCCCAAATCTGTAAATTGGGTTAAATCTGTAAATTGGGTTAAATATTAGGCTTTTGGGTTAAAAATGGCGCCCTAAAAGGCATATTTTTCATCATTTTTTATTTGGGCCCCCTCTAAAATAAATTTCTGTATCCAGGCAACTGGCAGTAAGCGCCATTAAAAAATAAAGAAAATTAAAAGTTATGGACCAAGTGGAATAATAGATCCCCAGCCTTTTTTCTTCGATTGTATTGTATTTTTGTAACAAAGTATCATATATGTAAAACAGTTTTATATGAAAAAATCCACGTATTTTTTTACCATCGTGCCAAGAAAAAATATTTTTGTTCTTTTTCACCTTTACTATAATCAATTTTTATTTTTTATCAAAATATAACCACTAATTTTTAAGAGTTTATCAGGTAATATCTAGTCCTTAAAAAATTTTATGCTAGATTTTTTACTGATTCTATACTAGATTTTTTTCATTATAACACTTATGTTTAAAATTACTTGTTTATTTTTTTCAAAAAGTAAAGCAATATTCCTTCACCATTTTGTCCCACAACTAATTTAGTTTTAAAATTCACTACAGGCTCTCAATTTTGTAACTACTTCATACAAAAATATGTATAATAGCAGTCGTTTTTAATGAAAACCTCCATTTTTGAACACTGTGCGTAAAGCGTTACCTGGATTGATTATTTTTATTCTTTTTCACCTTTACTATAATCAATTTTTATTTTTATCAAAATATAACCACTAATTTTTAAGAGTTATTATCAGGTAATATCTAGTCCTTAAAAAGTTTTATGCTAGATTTTTTACTGATTCTATACTAGATTTTTTTCATTATAATACTTATGTTTAAAATTACTTGTTTATTTTTTTCAAAAAGTAAAGCAATATTCCTTCACCATTTTGTCCCACAACTAATTTAGTTTTAAAATTTTCTACAGGCTCTCAATTTTGTAACTACTTCATACAAAAATATGATGTATAATAGCAGTCGTTTTTAATGAATACCTCCATTTTTGAATACTGTGCGTAAATCGTTACCTGGATTGAAGACTTAGCCGTTTGCAGATTTCCAATAAAAAAGCGGGTGTTACTTAATACAGTTGAAAAAATTGTCTCTAGAAGAAGAAAAATGGAAAACGCTCTTTACTAATGGAAGCATGGTTTTCTTAACCGCGTTGGTATTTAAATAATGGTATTTAACAGTTTAACGATGATTTTTTCATATAGATAACATACAACAAAAACGGTATATAGATAATGTTCAAGATTAAATCTGCTTTATAATAATTATACATATATACAGGGTCCGGCAATAGTGCGTCGGGCATCTGTAGCTCCTAGAATAAAAAACTTTAGAATTTTGTTTAAGTGCAAACCTAAAGTATGTACCAGGATGTATTTCCGGAAAATATTTTAACTTCTATAGGGTGGCTCAAAAAAGTGTGAGTGGATCTTGATGACTTTTTTTAAATGGAACACCCTGTATATTCTTGCATTTTTGGCTTCCTTTTAGATCACTTTACATAATCCTAAGATATGAGTAAATCTATTTCAGTGGGGTCAAAGATATTAAAAAATAAATCAAAAATATATATTTTTCAACCCTTCTTAAAAAAAATATTAAAAATACAAGAACTGTTCTGAAATCAAAACTATATTAGATATTTACTTTAGATGGTCTATTCTTACTTTGCTATAAATATGGTAATAGTAAATCATACAAGATGTTCAATATTTTACGCCAAACTTTCAAAAATATAAAATAATTTTACTTCGTTTTTTTAAACGGAACACCCTATATATTATTTTCTTATTTGATGGAGAATTAAAAAATGAACATTTTTTTGTATTTATAGTATTTCAAAATTTTTAATAGTTTTCCAGATACACGCAGTATTATTTCATATGGCGCTTTCAATGGTAAAATACGAGAGAAAAATAATTGGGTGGCTTTGATAAAAATTTACTGTGGAAAATGCCATATGAAATATAAAACCGGGAATATCTGCGAAATCGTTAAAAATTTTGAAATACTTTAAAGGCAAAAAATGTTCATTTGTTAATTCTCCATCTATTGAAAAAATAATATACAGGGTGTCCGATTTAAAAAAACAAAGAAAATTTATTGTATATTTTAGAAAGTTTAGCGTAGAATTTTGAACATCCTGTATGATTTACGATTTCCATATTTATAGCAAAGTAAGTACAGACCATCTAAAGTAAATATCTAATACAGTTTTGATTTCAGAACAGTTCTTGTATTATTAATAATTTTTTTCAAGAAAGGCTGAAAAATATATAATTTTTATTTATTTATTAATATCTCTGAGATCACTGAAATATATTTACTCATGTCTTAGGTTTATGTAAAGTGATCTGAAAGGAAGCCAAAAATGCAATAATATACAGGGTGTTCCCTTTAAAAAAAATCAACCCGATTCACTCACACTTTTTTGAGCCACCCTATAGAAGTTAAAATATTTTCCTGAAATACATCCTAGTACATGCTTTAGGTTTGCACTTAAACAAAATTCCCAAGTTTTTTATTCTAGGACCTACAGATGCCTGACGCACTATTGCCGGACCCTGTATATAGGTACTTATACGACATTTATACATAATAATAAAATAAAAATAAAAATCAAAATAAAAACACTAAATCACCACAATACACTATAATATAACTATATACAGTTTATAATCATCTGCTGATGGTGCTAACATGGTTAGCGAAACGCGCGTCCAGTGTAAAAGTAAAAGTGTTTTGGTGTATTGTGGTGATTTAGTGTTTTTATTTTGCTGTGTAACACCAAAGGTTCCAACCCTCAACTGTAACATAATAATATATTATTTACGATATTAAATACGACACTGGGCAGAATCAGCCAATCACAGTGTCCGACTTAAAGTTGATTCTTACTATGCTTTCCATTTCCATTCCATATCTATTCCGTATTTTTTATTTTATTGACGCATTACGTATGCTTCCGTTTCATATCAGTTCCATACTTTTTATTGTACGATTCATTTACATGATATAATATTTTATGCAAACGGAAGGGAAACGAAAGGTAACTGATACGGAAGGTATACTCGTAGTGAGATTTAACCTTTTTACCGGGTGCGTCTCAAAAGTGGCTCACCCCTATAACTTTTTTATTTTTTCAGATAAATAAACGAGATTTGGTATGTTAGTATATGACATAAATTAGGATTGATTGGTGTATTCAATTGTTTTTGGTTACTACAACTTTTGATTTTTAAATGGCACTCTCGGTATTTTTTTACTTTATTCGATAGAAAATAACATTCTCAATAGAATGACATATCATATGTCAACTTTTGACCTTCTCGCTTAATAAAAAATTGTATTTTAAAATTCAGTCTAGGGTGCCATGGCTATGTTAAAAACACTCATTCTTCACCAAGGAGCCTTGGAAAAATAGATTCGATCGTCTAATGTTTTTAGTATCTTGTCCTGGCCAGTTAGAAAATGCTCTAATCGTATTCTT